TTCCTAATAGCTGAAAAACAGTTAACAAGCAATTTCCAAAAGTGATTAGAAAAGGAAGTATGCAAACCTAGTGTCCTTTTAAAGGTGCCGACTGCAGTTTGAGCAACATGGCTATTCCCTCATCTCCCAAAGCTCTAAATCTTGCAGTCTCATCACAAGGAGCAACTATCTGGAGCACTTGTGGGTGATCTCAAGTCTTCTCCTTGTCCGGAGAGGAATTACGAAGAGCCAGTCTACTTGTCAGTTGTTCATTCTGCCGTGGTCGTTGGCTCTGCTGTCTTCAGTTCACCATTTCTTCCCTGGAAGAAAAGAGCAGCCTTTTCTGTTTCATTTGAGCATGAACCACATCACATTTTGCATTTCAACATGCAAAACTCTTCCATGTAGAAACCCATGTATCTCCATGTTTTCCTCTGCTGTGGACATACACGTCACATATCTTACATTATACATGCAGGAAAGCAATAGTTGGTATGGCTTATCAGCGTCTACATTAATTGCAAGATATGACAATCTAGGCAGGTTTTAAGAAATGTTTTGTACTGCAATATACATTTTTTTTAATATTTAAAACTAGATGAAATTCATGGGATATAGTACAGATAGCCCCATGGCTTTGGACAATAACACCAATTTTTTACTGAATAATGTTTTCCCTTAGTTCTGTTATCCTACACCAATTGACATGTGAATGTATGCACAGATGGAAAATAGTTCCACTTTGAAGATCTTTATTAGAAATGCCCTTTATTTTCTTTGTTCAGTTACAAATATTTTATGTCTTTCACAACCTGGGAGACCTCTGGGAATATCAGCTAATGGTTTAATCATGATTACACACAATTTGTATTCAACAGTTGCTAAAAGACCTACATAATTAATACAACTGAAATGAAAATCATCAATAGTTGATCATGCAGATATATTTCAATTGATTCTAAAAATGTGGTCTTGTACTAATGCAAGTGTTTAAATAAAAGATTCAATTAATGCATATTTTAGATCCTGGATTTAATGGTCCCATGCCCCCTCTTTAGATTGTAATGTGTATTACCACATTTTCAAGGAAGTGAAATAAAAATTGGCCATGTTGTATTTTGTGGTCATCTTACTGATAGGTTGAGATTAACCCTGGATATCTGTCCCAAAATCTTATCATAAAGGTACTGCAGCTTTGAGCTGATGTAAATAATGCAAGATTTTGTTGTTGTTGTTTTAATGATCAGATTAGGTGTCTGAGATGATGAAGGAACCGTGCATTTACAGTTTAGTGTGTAATGTCTTTTTTATTATAAGTTTTTTAGTTTTGTAAAGATGTTACGGTTGATAACACAATAAACTTATATGTAAACTATAACACTATTATATAAATAATGTACTGTATATAAAAGAGAAAATCTAAGGGTTTGAGATATGGCTACTTGTCTTCAGTATAAAAATTTTACGGATTTATACAAATCATTACTATTCAGATTTTAAATCCTGAGCTAAACTTAGATGATAAAAATCATATTGTCCGAATTTGACTCTCTGTTGAAACAAAGAGAATTGACAAATATAATAGAACCAAGAAATTAGTAATTAATAAGAAATTAGCGCACAAAAATTTCCTGGGGGACAGTATCACTTTCTTTGCCACGGTTCAGGCAGAATTTATTCAAAGTTCTTCACTATTGATACATCCTAATTCTTTACTGTGTTGTTTTAACACATTACTATTTCTGAACCTTAACTTCCTTCCAGGCGCTTGATTTATCATCATCATAATGTATAACCAATAAGAACTACTAGTGGACACAGTCATAACATGTGCCTAAGAGCTCCTTAAAATAGCATCAGACTGACAAAGACTATGCTCATAGATTTGTATTTTATTGGTTATTTTTAATTCTTTACCCTCTTAGTGTTATTGCCATTCCTTTCCATGTACTACCTAATTTTACACCCTACTATCTGGTCACGATATAAATATTAAATGCAGTTTTGTTTATAGATTTTAGTGAGATACTGATTTTATATTTTCTTAGCTATTTTAATAGTTGTAGGTTATTATTCCATAGTTTTATATGTTAATATTTCAATTATATAAACCTATACTGCATCATACTTACCATGATTTTATACTTTGTGCTAGTAATTTAAAGCTTAAAGTTCAGACGTTTCGACTATACAGCTGTCACAACGGGATGCCTGTAGTTTTATCACTGAATGCTATTTTATAGTGATTGATAACCAGAATAAAGATACTACTACACCCTCTGGTGATTACATGGTAGACAAGGCTGAAGAATGCAACAGTGGGTCAGAAATAAAACTGGATGAGATACCTTTCGCTGACATGTCTTCTTTTCTATCTGTTATTCTCTAATTCTGTTTTTGATACCTTTTCTGTCTGTCATCATCAAGCTGCAGGAAAGGGTCTGGCTTTTAAAATTATCTTGAGAACTGTGTGAAATTAGGTTTAGATCTGGATATATAACCCACATATAAAAATGAAGTAAGGGGGAGAGAGATGTTACAATCATGTCAATGTAGTAGCACGGATACTTAAAAATATATATATGTGTGTGGTTGACCAACTGATAAGAAAAGATGTTAATGCTTTTACTACTTTTTTCTGTTTTATTTAGAAAAGTAAATTGCAGCTTGGTTGTTAAATAAAAGTTGTCCTTTTAATAAGCCACTTATTCAGTCTCCTTTTTATTATACTTCTGTTGATATCTATGGCTCCTGGAATTCTGAACCAGTTGCCTTCTTAAAATTATACGTAACATTATTTATCAGAAAAGGTATGCATACCAACAAATATAAAACAGTCAGCCCTGTTTTATATTGTTATCTAATCCTTTTGTCTTTAATTAAAGAATGCAGTAGAATTTGCAATACTGGTTTCCTTAAAATTATGCATTCACTAATACAAATGTCTGATCTGTATTTCAGAAACAGAGGGATCCTACATTCATTCTCTGGGACAGAGACCAACAAAATCTGGCCTTACGTTTATACTTTGGTGTCCAGCAAGATTCCTCCAGTCCATGTAGAAGAAGCTAACTGAGCATCCTTAAAATGGGAATAAGAATTTTATGTTGATTTTGGTTTTGTTTCTGATGTGCTGTATCTGTGCTCTGCTCTTTTTTAAAGAGTAGCTATTCTCCCTGATGTTACTGGAGAATAGTTGTGGAACGACATCTTTCAATGATTATTCTGTATGGAATTCTACTTCTTGGCATATAAATACTTGTGCATGGACTTCAAGTAATTGTAATTGATATGCAGACACAGCTACACCTGAGCAGATCTGTAGAGCCCGTTGTTCAGTCCCTCCAGCTACAATTAGTACTTCTCTATATTCAGTGTGCATTTTTGTGGATCCTTAATCTAACACTCCATGCCTATTGAAACACACACACGCTATTCTAGGTGTACCTGCAACGCAGCAAGCACTGTGGAAAATACATGCATTATACAGGTCAAATAATGTATATTTTGAGTACTTCATAAACTGAGAAGAATCATGGTGATTTCAATATCTTGGTTTGCTAAGAAGCCAACCTTAGAAAAGTATCTGTTATAAAAATGCTGCTGTGAAATAAAACTAGACTTTTAAATTTGGAGTGGCTTTAGGCCTTTCTTTGTTAAAGAGTGGGCCTGTTCTAGATCTAAGAAAAGTTGCACTACATGGTTAGTAGTTCTAAAGCTTTAATGTTATAATATAATACCACCAGTCACTAAAAGTGCAATATCTCAATGTTTTGCCTCTGTAAAATTGTCCCAATTGTGCCCTCCAGGCAAATGATTCTGTGGGCAAACATAATGTCAGACTCAGTTGGTGGTTGATGCAATAAATAGCAAAGATCCATTACTACAGAGGTAAGGAAAAACGCCTCTGCAGTTATATGTTAGTGACTCTTGGGTCTACATTTTGAAATTGTCCAAGTAACTCATGAAGCTTGATCACATTGTGCAAAAAATGTATACCAAGACTAAGACTTAGTTTAATTGGATTAGGAGGGTTGAGAGTTTTCATTTGGATTCTATATTGCTATTAGAATTGCAATTCTAGGAATAGGTGTAAATTAGTTGTTGTTTTTTAATCATTGTTATATATAACTTACCAGGCTTACCTGGTTGGTTTTTAAATCTGCATTAGGAATTACAAAAGTGAGACTTCTGACTTTATTGCCTCAACCTGTATTTCCAGTGTCCTCTTCCTTTCCTTGCTAATCGCTTCATGCCATACTTCAGCGTCTGACTGAAGCTGCAGGTAAGATAAAGATTTGGCTGAATAAAAACAAATCTGACTACTGTGCACCTATTCGTTAATATTCACTCTGCTGTTACAATGTTGTTCTTGAGTTTATATGCTGCTAAGTGCAGTTAGCCTGAGTATTGACCAAATTTCTGTCAGTTGATTTTAGATCAGAAACTGAATAGAAATATTTAACTTTTGGTGTGTTTGCTCAAAATTACCTTTTCTCAAGGAACCAGTTTCTACTCTACAATGATTATGGAAAAACTGGGGCTCTACTGTAGGAATTTCTACATGTTATGTAGGATTCAACATTATTTTTTGATAGATGGTGCTAATGGTCCTTGATGTTGGCCCATGCAAGCAGAAATTGCATTGTTGAATGTTTAAAATTTAACCTCTTTTTCTCTGTATATTTCATGATCATTGGTTGCCATTCCAAATCTTGCTGCGGAAGCTAGCTTCGAGGGTACCCAGAAGATTCAAATGAAATAGACCATTTATAAGATGTCTAAGCTTTTTCTCTTCATTCTTTTAGATGCCAGGTTGGATCCAGTGCAAGTTAGTTTCATTCATTTAAGTAGAAATTACAGCTAACTCAAATCTTGCTGAAATCAATAGGATTTCAATTGTTTGCTTATCTGCTAAGAATTAAAAATAGTTTCTGAAACGGATGAAAAATGTATGGGAGTTCTCTATATTTCTTAATGTTCTTGAACCTTGCTATTTGAATATAAATCCTTTGGCTTTTATTCTTTTGCAATAAAATAATTCATACAATGGTTTCCTTAAACTAGAAGTAAGTACTGTAACTTTTAGAGAAATTCTGATTGTGAACAGGAGTAGAATGATACATTTTTTACCACTCTCCAGATGTAGCCATCAGGCAGAGTGAGAATGAGAGGAAGTTGGGCCAGCCTGAAAAACCTTATTAAGCTGTATCCTTTCTTTGGATTTTCACTTCTGAAATGGAAGGAAAATTAATTAGGACAATTCCATGTTGGTTTAGCTAGAGGGTCCAAATCTGGAATCTAGATAGGCTTTCCAGTGAAACCTAAGCTGTCCATATTATACCCTAGAATGTTCCATATCATTGGTGGTGTCACTACCCATGGAGCTTCGCAGAAATATACTAGGGGTGCCAGGATGGACATATATCTCTGCCTTACCCTAATACCTCCAGACAGTTGTCTAAAAAGGTCTTAGGACTGCACTGTCTGATATAATACGTAAAAACAGCATAACTTCACTAAATTGTCTTGTTGCCTTATTTTATAGATTATTAAAGGGGTGGAGTAGAAGCATATTTGAATAAATTAATCTGACTTTTACTGAATTGTTACTTTCTCCTGTAACTCTGCTGCTGATATCAAAATTATGCTTTTTTGACAGTATAGAATTAACTTCCACACATAACAAAATAAATCAAAAGACTTCCTAATATCTCTAATGTAAGATTGGAGCTTAATGCCATTTTGTCTGCACACACACAAACACTCTATGCATTAGATTATACACAGGGGGAAAAAATGGCAATGCAATTAATATTTGCAAAATTGAATTGGCAAAGCCCCAGTGTTGGTACAGTACATTTCAACCTTTCTACATAAGTTTTACACAGGAAGATATGTTGCTACACTCTTCAGCCTGATGTCCAGGTTACTTTTAGATCTTTACAGATTTAGGGTGAAGATCTGAATCTTCATATAAGATCTTTTCTGAGTGTACTTACAGATCTTCCATGATTGGGAAGCTTGTTCCATCTATGTCAGTAAGTAGCACTCTTAATAGGGTTACAAGAGTTAAGCTGCAATAATTACATGATCTCTAGATATCAGCAGATGAAGAAAAGTTATAACTCTTAGTCACCTTCTAGTAGTTGTGCAGATTTTGAGCCCAGATCTGGTAGTCTTACCTTTGAAGATCTTCATGTTGACCTTGTAATGATATACAAATCATTTGAGAGAGGATACTCATTTCTTCCAACATTTTTCTATATTAATGAGCAGGCAATCATCTGCATAAGACAATAGAAGGAAATTGTTTTTCATTTTTGTAAGAATTTTATTTTTACACCAAGTATTAGAGGGAGAACCAGGCTGCAGTCCTCTGTCCACACTTGCCTGGGAGCAAGTTTCATTGAGTTCTGTGGGTCTCATTAATAGGTGTGCATAGCATTGTCCACTTGCCTTTTTAAAATTTACATAGACATATTGTTATCAATACACTATTTTGCTACTTGTTAATATAATTTCATTTAAAGGTGTACTGTAGCAGTTACTTATGTGTGAGTATGCAAATGTGAGTTAGCTACTCACTGTTGCATTCATTGTTTTCACAGATAGCAGTTGAACTAGAAGCCATCCAAAACATTAAGGCCATTGCATTACAGTAGAGTACTTTCAAAAGTTTAAATTATGAAGCCTGTGCTCACATAGCACAGTGTGCATGTAGCCCACAAGAGTCATGTTTGTGTCAAAATTGTAGCAAACCTACTTAAAAAGCAGAATCTTGCTTTTGGCTGATAGCTACATCACCATATCACTATGACCATACCTCATAAAAACCATTAATTAGTGCTGTTTAACTCTCAAGCATACTATTGAATTTCTACCTATTATATAGCTTGAAACTTTAAAAACATTGGCTTTTTGTTCTGTGCTATATTTGCCAGTTACTCTTATTTTTTAATGATTAAATGCAACACTACATGCACAGTTAAACACTTTTCTGTTCCTTCCCTTTATCCCTCTGCCAACAGTAGGCTGTACTTGATATAAGTATTTATATGAAGCAATGGTGGTTGTCATTTTATTAATGAAGAATGAGCATGTCTGAAGCCAGCCCAATTTGTTTATTCTGTAATAAAAATAGTTAGATTGCAGTCTGGATTGGAGCTAGATTACTAGTTAGGTGTTCTGAGAGCTTCAGTGTCTCTGACAGCTCAATAATTGAAAATCCCATATATGTAGATACAACCCATCTACTGGATTTTATCATGGCTAGTTTTAGAACTGCTTAGGGAAACAAACTACCCATCACAGCATATATTTGGAAATACAGCTTTCCAAAGATATTTTGGTATTCTTTTTAATTAAAAGACCTTGAATCATTTCCACCAAATCCCATTAACTCTCACTGTTGGTACTTCTGGGAGTTGGTATTTTCGTGATACCATCAAAAAGTGGAATTCAAAGCATTACCCTTGTTGCAGTTTTATAAAGCTTAGAAACTTCAATGTAAGCAGCATATTTAAGAGAAAAAGGTAACCCTGTTACACATTATGTATAAATTGACTCTTTTGAATGTAACAAAGCATTGGCTATTTGCAATAGGAAGATAAGTTTGTTATAGCTTCTCAATATAGAAAGAAGGTTCATTTCCTTTTAACCTACTCATGCTGAATGTCTGGAGTAACCAAGGTATATGGTAGTCCTTTGGGTTCAAAGGAGATACACTGTTGTACAGTTCATCTGTGTACACGGAGGGGGCTTTGCAGTCCCAGTCTGCACAATAGGGGGACTGGAAGTCCATTGTTGTAGTAACTGTGACATCACTCACAGTTTTCTATCGTTTTTTAGTGGCACCTGTCTTCAAAGCTGGTGGAGGCTTCATAGCATAGGGCTCACCAGTGGGTTCAGTCAGCAGCCGCAGCTTCTAGTTCCTTGGTTGGATGTCACAGTGGTGTAGGGTTTCTTTCACAGTGTCTTTGTAGCACTTGCGTGGTCAACCTTGAGGTCTCTTCCCAAACTCCAGTACGCTATAGAGCAACTGGCGAGGCATACGGTGGTCATCAATTCTGATGACGTGTCCCATCACCGCATCTGGGCTCTGATAATCAGGGACTCAATGCTGGTGGACTCTGCACAATCCAAAACCTCCAGGTTGGAGACACGATCTTGCCAACTAGTGTTGAGGATGGAATGAAGAGTGTACGTGTGAAATTTCTCCAGTTGTTTGATCTGCCTTCAGGACAGAGTCAAGGATTCATATCCATATAGGAGAGAAAAGACAACCACAGCTCTGTAGACTTTCACCTTTGTGAAGATACAGATGTTGTGTTGATTGAGCACTCTAGTATGCAGCCGCCCCAGTGCCTGGCTGGCCTTGCTGATCCTGGAGTCAATTTCTTTGTCCAAAGACCCATCGTTTGAGATGATGTTTCCCAAGTATTTGAAGCTGTTTGTTTGTCAGCTGGGTGAGGTCAACAGTGATTTTTGGTGTATGGGCAAGAAATGATAAAAGCTTTTCTAGTTTCCAGAATCTAGATTTCAGTGGCTGTTTCTGGAGACAACTCCCTGCATTGATTTCCATGGTGAGGTTTATACATTGCCAGGATTTAATGGCCTAGTTCACATGTAACCAAACCTAAGTCAGAATGGGTGAATTCACACATCTTAGCCCAAAGCAGGCAATTGGTCTAGCTTTCTACTCTGCTACAAACTTTTTCTGCTTAGTGTCTAATTAGTGTCAGCTTATGAGCAGGGGACCTTAAACATAAGGCTGGGTATCCGCATTTCTTCTTTGCCCCAAGCACACAGTGAAAATAGCAGATGATGCCACAGTGATTTGTGATTTTCTGAAGAAAGGATGGACAGAATGCTGGTCTTAGATGGATTATTAATTTGAACCAATTCTGTATTCCCATCCATTGTCTTATTCTGCATATCAAAATAAGTTGGAGAAAAATCTTCCAAAGAGATTTATGAAGTGATCAATAAGTTCCATTTGAAAGAATGAAATAGAGAAGCCCAGTACATATATCACTTGGCTCTGTGACAGCATGTAGCTTACCTTTGTTAATTTTGAAAAGCTAAGTAGAGTCTGACCTGTTTAGTAGTTGGATAGGAGACCACCAAGATACTGTATACCATGGCTATAGGCTTAGATTGGAAAGTTGAAAAAGCCTGCTGAAAGAAGGCAATGGTAAACATCCATCTTCCAAGCAAAGTACATAGGTATGTCCATTGAGTCAGTGTTGCGCATCCCTTGAAGGAGAATATACACTTAAATATTGGAGGAGAATAGAAGCACTCTTCTGACTAGTCTATAGTATGTCTAAGAATGTTGACTTGTAAAGGTTACAGAGAGGGTTCCACTCCAAAATTTGTGTTTATGGCAGAGGGGTAATATATAAACACGTTATATTGCTTTGTGACTCTTCAGCAAGTGTATGTAATTAAATATGTCAATATGTTACAGGATTAAAATACTGTACCTGGTTGGTGCTCTGAATTGTACCCATTCACTCCATATAGAGAATATTCGAATGCTACTGTCTTCTTGTGACACCTTTTCCCCAAAATCATTACCTTCTGTAATTTACCATCGTGTTCACCTCGTGATGTTAGCACTTTACTGTGAATGGGATGCGTTTTCTAAACTCAACGATTGTTTTTATAATGACTGTATAGTGAGACCATATTGGAACTAAGGGGTTCTTTGGTTAGACAAGTGTCTTAAGAAACAGCTTTTGTCTAGAACAATGTCATGGGAGAGGCAGTTTTGTTTTGTATTGCAGAGTCTTCTCTCTCCCTTCTCCAAATTCTATACAGTTGCTGTATTAGCATTTGTTATATGTTAATGAAGTTATCTTTAACTTAGTCCATGCCTTGAGAAGTGTGTATTATGTAGATAGATGAATGTAATAAAAACAGGCAATGTGATTCCTGTATGCATAAATATACCTGCAAACCCTTGTTTGGGAATTGGCCAGTTTTCTTCCTGCCTTAGCTTCAATTTTCTCTCAGTTCTTCTAACTAAAAAATAAATGGAAACTTGGTGTCCTGCACCTCTAACACTGTCTTTGTTTACAAGAATGCCTCTTGACATTATGTTAGCCTCCTGGCTATTCTTAGAAAACAAGAATGGTGGGAAGCTGCTAACCAATACCTGGTTTCTGGAAGTGTGACTCTCTGCCCTAAAAAGGAAAAAAAAATACAAAAGTAATCTGGAGAAATAAAAAAGCTGCTTAGGCTCATTGTGAGGACAGCAGGAAGCAACCTTGTTATTTTGCTTCTGATCAATGTGTGTTTGTTCCTTCACCACCACATCAGCCATTTTATAAGAACATTTATGGCATGCTTTCAAAATTCCATGTGTGTGGACTACTGTACTGCAAAAAGGTTGGTTGTCCCTGGCTAAATAATGAAAGGCACATCTGGTTTTTTAAATGTTTATTATAGTAGATTAGGATGAGTGTAGAACACATTGCTGCTAAAACTACATCCTTATGCTCTTCATCATGCTCTTTCTTGCAGTGAATAATAAAGGTCATATATGGCATGGTATTACTTTGGTGTAATGGTTAAGGCACCAGGCTAGAAACCCAGAGACTGAGTTCTAGTCTCACTTTAGACACAAAGCCAGCTGGGTGATTTTGGGCCAGTCCCTTTCCCTCAGCCCTAGGAAGCAGACAATGGCAAACCACTTCCGAAATCTTGCCAAAGAAACTTCAGGGACTTGTCCAGGCAGTCACCAGGAGTCAACATTGACTCAAAGGCACCAAAACAACAACAACACAACCTTCACTCTTCTTACAGTATGGTAGCTAGTGATCTAAAAAGGAACAAGTGGTTACAGCAAGCATTTGGCTATGTCACTCAGTTGGTGGTCCATTCCAATGTACTGGAGAAGAGACCGAGGAAGATGCAAATAAGCGTTAACTGTTTTGCCATAATCCATCAGTTCTAAACAACAACCACTTTGTTCCTGTGGATGTAGTTCTTCATGAAAAGAAAACCTGAAAAATAAATACATATGCTACATGCAAAGGGTGAACATGTAAAATTCAGAATTGGACCTATGCTGGAATGCTCTAGTTCACCTCTCTGATAATTACACTTAATTACACTTGTACATAGTAGGTTAATATGGATCTGCTAATGGCTTAAAATAATAGTGGGTTATTGAATTCTTTTGAGTAAACAAGGATGCATATATTAAAAGAGGAAAATAGATTTTTCAGTTAAATGTTTACATGACTTTACTGGAGAATTAAACATGAAAGGACCCAGAACCATTACTGACATCTGGAATCAAAATAATTCAAGAATGGTACTTTACCCAGTTGCATGACATATTCTCCTATAAGACTTATATGTATCTCAAGTCACGAATGCAGAAAAAGGATGAAAAAATGGAAATTAAAACAATATACTGTGTTTGACAAGTTGGATTTAACCTGCATTTGACAAAGCTGGGTTAAAATTATAGGGATACAATATGCGGAAGTTTTCATGAATCATATTTTAAATGTCTTCATGCAGCACTGAATATTAGATGTTGTTCTCATTAAGAGGCCCCACAAAATTACAAAACGTGCATGACACAACTAAAAGGCCAAGAGGTCAAGGAGGGCAAAAGCAGAAGAAGTAGGATAAACAATCTAGCTGGGAGAATGACAGCCAAGGCAATGTTGGTGCCCATCTGCCAACTGGGGATGTTCCGTGACATCACTTTTGCTAAAAATTTTCCTCCAGAAGGATGTCCTAACCTTTGCATGACTGTCTGAAAGTCTGAGGCGTAGTGAATATCACCATTTCTCTCTGGAATAAAATAGGAAGAAACTGTGTTTAACTTGGGAAATTCTTTTAATGCTGGCTTTCTAGTCACAGAAAGAAACCAGCAGAGCTCTCAGTACCAGACTCATTTCTCTACTAGTCTCCCAGTACATGAATGACAAGGGGAATATTCATCCATCCATCCATCCATCCATCCATCCATCCATGTATCCTTTTCAAGAGGTGAAAGGATCCCAAATTAACCTTAGGAACTTTCGATGATCTTGTAGAGTTGACTTCACCTCTGCAGCACTTCATAGAACACTAGAAGAAATACCTGCAATTAAAAAAAAAATAGAGCTGAATGGATTTTATTTCCCCACAGTGAAAAAAAGGGTTTCCTTTTGTAATATTTATCAGGCAATGCTGCATTGAGGAGGGTACCCAAATAATAAGGAAGAAAATACTCTGTAGAAATAGTTGTACGCTCGTCTTGTCATAGGCAAAAATAATGGGAATTAAAACCAATGCAACACTTTAGATGCTAGAAAATCCTGTACTTCTTTACTGATAAGTAAGATGCATAGCAAGCATAACTTTATTCTCTGTTAGGTTAGACTTTCATATGGTTGCTAAAGAGGCTAGTTATTTCTTACCAGGAGGTCTAGGTATTTTAATATGTTTTGGAATAGTTTCAGGAGGGACTTACTGAAACTAGAAAGCATCATGACTTCTAAAGCACAGAGATTCTAGCTTTCAAAGTACAACTCAGCATAAGATGAGAATTTGATATATTTTGCCACAGCAAAGAACCTTAGGGCTCCTTTTCTTTCATCTGACGTTCTTGTTGAAATTAATTAAAAGAGCCAATTATCATTTTCCTTTTAAATGAACAAGTGAGATAGCATCTATTGAAATGAATTGAGAAAAACCTTTTGACTCCAGATCCTGCTCCATGCCAGATTTTATTAAATATGTTATGTCTTCTTGCATCCCATCCTTCCTCTGATTCTCTATAATACAAACTGTAACCCAGGACTGTGCATCGTTCCCTACAAATTATCATCACATCACTATCCTGGATGGAGCAACGC